GATCGCACAGAGTATTATCGCGGACCCACCAATGTAATTACTGTTTTATTTTTATTAATTTTTATTAATTTTAATTTCATTTTTTACCTACGTGACTTTACCGAACAAACTAAGAGTATGAATCCTTGCAGTCACGAAAGCTTCAAATCTAGAATGTAATTACCGTATTCGCCGGATTATGACACAGTTCTCGGGAAGTAACATGCACCCCGTCAATTATATTTTGGATGTGTAAAGCGCCTTTCGCCGAGGCGCTTGACAATGCTGACCGACTGCGGTACAAAATGGCCAAATAATGGAAGGGTGGGTGCGGTAGTACGGCCATTTAGCAATCGGGTTTGGAAGAGGAATGAAGATTTCGCAGCAGGGGAAGGAGGCGATGGCGCATGGGGTTGAAGGAGGAATCGGTGGAGCGTGACATAGTGGATGAGGCTGATAGAAGGGGTTGCGTGAAAGAGTTTTACAAATCTTGTCACACACACACACGTGCCGGATTATTTGGGCCCGTCCATAAATGACGTCACGCACCTAGGGGGGGGGGGGGGGGTCAGACATTTGTGACGATGTGTGATGTGGGGGGGGTTGAGAAATGTGACGTCACGTCAAAATGCGTAACTTTAAATAAATATAGACAACACGTTCTACTTAATTCATTAGACTTTTTAATAAATGTTTTCTCCTACAGCATCAGAGTGCAGCGCCACATTAAATACGCACTACAATGACAACAGTTTAAAGCGATTTGAAGCATGTTTTATTTATTTGGGGGGGGGGGGCAGAGCTTTGTGACATCATATTTGAGGGGGGTCTGACTCTTTGTGACGCCGTGTGACGATGGTGGGGGGGGGTCAAAAATCGTCCAAAATCGCGTGACGTCATTTATGGTCGGCCCCTTAGACGCACCCTCGACGGTTGCTTTAAAATTCCCGGGCAGTGCGTCTTATAATCCGGATAATACGATATTACAACTGTTTCCTGTGCAATCCTCGTCACCGACGCGGCCGAACTGACTAAAATTAGGGAAGTATGACGATCAAAGTACAGTATACCCCCCTACCCCCCCATGCCCGAAATGGCTGTGAGCCTGGAGGGTCTTCATCCAGGAGTGGACTTACAAATGGGATGTGGCCTAATAATAATAACATTACATTATTATTGCATACATGTCAACCCCTTAACAGTGCCTTCTTATTACAGACCAATTCAGACCTTCTTGGTCACCCCGTGTCCCTATAAATCTCCACGTGCATCCTACAAAGTCCCATCACGCGGGAGAAACACAAACAAATAGGCAACACACAATTGTTTTGCCCGTACTGAAACGGCTGTACGCAGTGTATGGACCTGAAAAAACTCAATGTCCCTGTACAACAATACGGGTTAAACCGTACGGGTTGACAAGGTCTGGGCATTGTCCTTAACGCAACGAGTAACGATTCACGGACTCGATGATCACGTACGGAGAGCAACTAACACCGCAGCATTGTCATCCCAGGTAAGTGGACTCACCTTGAACAGGTGATGGACCCGGTGTGACTCCATGTACGCCTGCACGTTCACTTGAGCCATTGGTGGTGGCAACCTTCACTCGCCAGCAAGCGGCGTCTTGTCTTCTCTGCCAATTACAGTTTCCGTAATCGGCCCTCCTTTGTTTACAGCCAAATCGCAATTTGCCGTCACACCTGTGGCAGGTACGTTACAATGAAGAATAACACGACTTTCACTTCTGCTCGAGACTCGAACGATGGGACGCTACGTTCGGGTGATGTTAGCAAGCCACTGGATGTTGTGTGTATGTGTAAGATGTGTGTGTGTGTCCTGTGATTTTAGCAAGTCACGTTAAGGTGTGTGTGTGAGATGCATGTGTGTGTGAGATGTGTGTGTCTGATGTGTGTTGTGTGTGGCCTGCGATGTTAGAAAGTCACGTTAAGGTGTGTGTGTGTGAGATGTGTGTGTGATGTGTGTGTGAGATGTGTGTGTGTGTGAGATGTGTGTGTGTGATGTGTGTGTGAGATGTGTGTGTGTGTGTGAGATGTGTGTGTGTGATGTGTGTGTGTGAGATGTGTGTGTGTGTGAGATGCGTGTGTGTGTGAGATGTGTGATGTGTGTTGTGTGTGCTCTGCGATGTTAGAAAGCCACGTTAAGGTGTGTATGTGTGAGATGTGTGTGTGTGATGTGTGTGTGTGAGATGTGTGTGTGTGTTGTGTGCCCTGTGATGTTAGAAAGCCACGCCTAGGTGTGTGTGAGATGTGTGTGTGGTGTGTATGTGAGATGTGTGTGTGTGAGATGTGTGTGTGTCCTGTGATTTTAGCAAGTCACGTTAAGGTGTGTGTGTAAGAAATGTGTGTGTGTGTGATGTGTGTTGTGTGTCCTGTGATGTTAGAAAGCCACGCTAAGGTGTGTGTGTGTGAGATGTGTGTGTGATGTGTGTGAGTGTGAGATGTGTGTGAGATGTGTGTGTGTGAGATGTGTGTGTGAGGTGTGTTGTGTGATGTTAGAACGCAACATAAAGGAGTGTGTATGTGTGTGTAAGATGTACGCTGTGGGTGTTGTGTCCTGTGATGAGGGCGTACGTAAGCTGGCCTCAAGTTGACTTCCACGCATCACCAAAGCAACCGAACACACACCCGTCAGCAATATCCATCCCACCATGATCTTGTGCAACAGCGTCACCTTGCGGATGTTTGTCTCTGTGTCTCCCGGAAATGTGACGTGAGAAAAACCTGAAACAGTTTTGGATTTGGTGGTGATGCTGCTGCTGCTACGTTGGCAAGCGATGCACAAGTATAATTAACGACAATTGCCCTTCTTCATAGCACATGCATACACTTTTTTAAAGGACATTTTTTTCTTTCAAATGTAATTCTTATCAGGCCCTAGAGCAGGGGTGGGGAACCTTTTTCTGCCAAGGGCCATTTGGATATTTAAAACATCATTCGCGGGCCATACAAAATTATCAACTTAAAAATTAGCCCGTTATATTAGGTCAAACATTTAATTAACTCGCCCCTAATGCGATGGCTGGAAATGCTTCTCTTTGGTGAGGCGCGTGTGATATTAGCTGGTATTGATGATGTTGCTACTCGCAACTGCTTTTCCAGGTTAGCTCCTAGATTGATTGAATTTCGAGTCCAGCCTGCGGTTGCCTTGGCAAGGGCCACACCAAATGATTTCGCGGGGCCTTGTACGGCCCGCGGGCCAGACGTTTTCCACCCCTGCCCTAGAGTGTAAATCAATGCAGTCTCTAACTCGTGCTGTCCATTCTGTCTCTCTGTCATCTGTAATTATGTGATATTAAGAAGGGCCATTGCCTAAACAGCATACCTGTCAACCCCTTATCAGTGCCCTACGTTATTACACACCAATTCAGACCTTATTGGTCACCCCGTGACCCTTATAAATGTCAACGTTAATCCTGCAAAGTCCCATCACAAGGGAGAGAAACACAAAAAAATAGACAATTTTTTTTGTCCCTACTATATTTGAAACGGCCGGACGCCGTATGGACCTGAATCCCCAATTTCCCTGTACAAGAAAACGGGTAAACCGTATGGGTTGACAGGTATTAAATCGTCACCTATCATATATATATACATTTCCTATTTAACGTCACGGTGCTATTGACAAATGCTTTGACTTTTTTAAAATTATGATTGTGCATTACTGCCCTAAAACGGAAACAAACTATACACTGTATTTTTTTCGGATTATAAGACGCACTTACTTCCCCTCTATTTGAACGCACAAGTTGGGGGAGCGTCTTGCAATTCACGAGTTCTGTGCGTTCGTGGTTGCCGTTGGCCAAAGTGCACCTGGCCTGGCACAGGTGCCCTGGTGACGTCAGCGTCACTGAGTGGCGAATCGCGGATATTGGTATTGGTTGTTGGCCATATTTGTATAACTTTATCGTCTTAGGGGCCGTCCATAAATGACGTCACGCACCTGGGGGGGGGGGGGGCAGACATTTGTGACGATGTGTGACGAGGGGGGTGGTTTGAGAAATGTGACGTCACATCAAAATGTACAACTTTAAAAAAACTATAGACAACACGTTTAAGACCTGTTCTTCACCTGAGAAGACCTGTTCTTCACCTGAGGACGGCTGCTTGCGTTGTGGCCGAAACGTCGTGGCAATAATTTTATTACGTTTTATTTTTATTATGTTATTATTTCCATTCTACGTGACTTTACCAAAAGAACCAAGAAGATGAATCCCTGCAGTCACGAAAGCTTTAAATCGAAATTCAAACTGAAGTCGTTGACAGCACAGCGTGAACTAACCACAGTGCCACCGCTCCACCAAAGCCTGTAAGAAAAGCAGAGATGTGCCCGATCCCAGGCGTTGAGTTGCGTACGCGCAGTGCAATATGCATAAGTCTATCTGCATTTTTTTAATCGTCAAAATTGAAACGTGCTTTAAGGTTGTTGAAATACGACCGAAGTAGTGCCTTGCACTTTAGATGATGATAGTTAATGTATGGAAGAAGATGACGAGGATTCGTTGATGATGACTCATTGATAGGCAATGGCTATGATTATGATCGATGGCAGATTCAATGTTGATGATAGTGACGATTAATTGATGGGTGGTGATGATGATGATGGTGATGTTTACAACCAAACATATGGACGTACAATTTTTTTTGTCAATTCTAAAATATTGACCCGCTATCACGTCAGGTCTTCAACAAAACCAATTCGAGGCAACGAACTTATCCTGAAATAACTCCATACATACTCTTTTGTTCTTTCGGTAAAGTCACGTGGGTATAAAATAAAATAAATCACGACGTTTCGGGCGCAACACAAGCGTCCGTCACCTGATGACGCCACCTGATGACGGACGCTTGTGTTGCGCCCGAAACGTCGTCATTTATTTTATTTTATACCTACGTGACTTTACCGAAAGAACCAAAGAGTATGGATTCCTGCAGTCACGAAAGCTTCAAATCAACTCCATACATCATTGCGCATTCAACAAATAATTGCGCACGTCGCGGTAAAAGTGGGTTACATGTGTTTATTTCAAGTGAGCACATAAAGAGGCACGTGGCGTGTCGACAACGAGAGAGTGTCATAACCAGCGGACTGAAGAAAAAAACGCACGCGGAGGAGTTAAATGCGCATCGGGAGTTATTATTGGTCATTGTGCGTGATGCCAGAGCGTGTTTGGGAGTACAACGTTGATACGGGTGGGTGTGATTTTAAAGAGAGAGGATCAGTTGACAAAGAGGTGGTCATTATTGCGCAGGTAATGCTGTCTTGTCCGCATTGGTGCTGGTGAATAGAAACACGGGCGTTTACCAAATTCAAATTCCAGCACGACATTGCACACGAATGGCGGAGTCATCTTGACTCGCAAAGCATGCCGGGCTTTTTGTGACTTTTTTAAGGTGGTGGGGGTGGATTTAAAGACTTAGTTTTTTTATCGCTATAATGAACCGATTAAAAACACGAGGACCGTTCGTGAATGAGGGCAATTGCCCAGAGTGTCCCAATAGTTTTCAGTCGTGTAGGGGGCAGTGTTTGGCAATAACGGTGGTGGTAAATACGAGGCCATTCTGTCCACACTTTGGTTGCATCTTATCTAAACCTAGCCACCAACCACTGTAGACATTTTTTCTTATCCATCTCAGTTATTTAGAAGATTCCTTCGAAACTGTGAGTCAGTTTCAGTCGCAGCGCTGACTTGGACTGGTTTTCATTGCGCAGTCAAATCAATCCGACTGGAAAAAACCAGGGCCCTGTTGTATTACCGATGAGCTGCGCACACCCTTTTTGACCGAGGCGAAAAATAAAATAAACCGTACAACTTTCACCATTGTAATCTTATGGGGTTAGAGAAATTGACGGCGGGGAATAGTGTTGTAAGCTGATGAGAAATCACAATCATAAGTGCCGAGAAACGGGAGGTTTTGGGGTGGGATTTGGGGAGGGGGGGCACTCTCACCGTGAAATTTCACGGGCCACTTTGTCTCCCGAAACTGTAAGGCACCGGGGCTGTTACAGCATCACCTTCCCAAAAAAAAAAACAGCCACGGCAACTGTGGCAACAACCTCCCGCCCGCACATGGATCCCCTTCGCTCCGTCGCTCGGTGGTGGGGGGGGGGGGGGGGGGAGGGTCTGCCGCCTAATTATTGAGCATCGCTGGGCTGTCGTTCTTCATGACATCTCGGAAGAACGTGACCAGCGGCTTGAGGTGCGCGTAGCCCGGCGACTTGCGCATGAAGCCGCCGTAGCGCTTCTGCTTGAAGTGCGTCGGCGGCTGCCCCCACCGAAAGTGGTTCATCTGGTAGAGCTCCGGGTTCTCCTTCTGCATGCTCAGATGCGCTGAGCCCTTCTTGGAGGGGGCCGCCGACCACTGCCGCGCGTCCACCTCGTTTGCCTGGTCGTCGAGAGTCCAGCCTTCGTCCCAAGCCTGCCCTCCGTTCACCACCCGTGCGTTTTCGTCGCTCCCCATGCCAAGAGGGGCCCCCTGGCTCTGCTCCGGCTGCCGCTTCTTGCCGGGCAGAGGCTGTCCCCAGCGGAAGTGTTGCATCCGGTAGCCGTCGGCGCTCTCTTGGACCCGCTTGTCGGCGGAGACGTCTCCTCCCTCTGGCGCCTCATCTCCTCCTCCTAGGAGCACAATCTCGGAGCCGTCAGCGGATGGTGCCGCAAGGCGACTGCACTCCCCGAGGCACTGCATCCAGCAGAGCTGCACGCGCGGTGGAAAGAGAGAGCGTTGTTTTTGTTAGCATCACCATCATCATCGTGAGCCACGATCTCTCCGCTGCTGAATGAAGGCTTCCACCACCGCACCATCACCTAGGAGAACGTGGTGAACATCAATGGCGAGCGGGGCCTAAACTTGTCCTGTGCCTCATTTAGGTCAACTCAGCCTTTGATAAATGAGGAGCCAGTTTATTCTGTAAACATTAGCACTGAAAGGACAAAGGCTCGTGTGTGCTATGTTGGCCTTAATGGGTGCTCTCCGATGCAGCATGCCTCTGTGGAGTCTACAGCTGAACGGGTGATCTATGGGTGAGAGTGTGTGGTTCTGCTTGCTAACAGCACTTGCCCCGACAGTCTGTTAAAGGCCATACGGGGGGGGGGGGGTCTTCATCGTTGTGTTTTTGAGAGCAGTGCTCAACACTAAATTCTGTCGATTGCCCCAACACCAACAGCGGTAAGGGGGCGATGGGGACACGAAAAAAATACCAGGTCACGCATTCCAAGTTGTATGCATTTCCCAGTTACACATTAGCACAGTGACGTACCGCCAGCCAGCACCACCACCCCCACGCATAGAATAGCAGAAGCTCTCAAAGCGTACACCGAAAACCGTTCAAGCATTATGAATGCCGCGGCAGGAGAGTATATCCAGTGTGCCTTACCTTGTTAAATCTCTAACCAGCTAAGCAGGGTTTTTGGGGCCTGGTTAGAATTTGAATGTAACGACTCTCTGGGAACGACAAGGTGTTTTTAGGGCTTGGGTTACGAGGTGGCCAATGGGATTGTAGTGCAGCAATGGATCCTTGCATCTATCTGTGCTGAGCTTTGGGGCATGGGTTTTCTCTACGTGTTCTGGCTTCCTCCCACAAGCCGATTATGGAATTTCCCGAACGTCGCAACGCATGTATGTTTGTTGAACTTCTTTCGCAGCTATGTAGCCAACCGTGCCCATCGGAGGTGCGGGGTTAAGGGGTCTTTAGTTTTGTTGTGGCTTTCCTGGTTACATGCATGGTTTGATAATGATTTTCTCGACTAACAGCAGTGACGCCATACAAGTTAGACTGCAGTCGTACTGCGGTGCCCATAATACACCCAGGAATGAGCCTTTGGCCACTTCTGGGTAACTGCCACAGCTGTTATCAAGGCTGTAGATCCATTGTTAATAATGCATTTGATCAGAAACAAACACTTTAGTGTTACATACAAAAATAAAAAATAAGCCTTTATATTCGTTTTTTTTTTATTGAAAAGAGATAAGCAATTTAAAAAAAAAAAATGTGACGTTTTTGTTATCATTAACGAGTTATAAAGGGATCAGCCTCATGAAGATATCATAGCTACTAAAATAATCCTAGTTAGTTCAAATGGCGAGTAAAGTAATGAAGCAATGTTCAAATGTACGAATGAAAAAAGGTAATAATTGGGATAAAAACAATCCTCCTCTCTATGATACTGATATCACCACTGGATCCGGTCACAACAATAATGTACAGGTCCTAATTTTATTCCTATTTGCTCTTGTTCAACTTACCCACCAACATTACATTTTTACAGCCCTGACCGTTGTATATACGATGTGTCTCTTTGTGCTGATATCACATCTTGACGAGGTTGATTCCTGAACGCTAACCACTGGCCTTGCTGTACATTCCTAGTAGTGGGGATCGTTGAAATCCCTTCAATGTGTTTTTTTTGCGTTAACGATAATCGTCGAAAAAAAATAACCTAAAAAAAACCCTAAAAAATGTAATCCATAAATGATTCATCAATAATCGTTTTTAAGCAGCCCTAATTCCTACTGTTTTATTTCGCATGAAGCGGTACCGGCTCGGTCTGGGCGGGTTCCAGGCAGCTCTCGCACGCCTGCAGGCAGACGAGAGGAGCGCTCCTGGATGCCACGGGACCCAGGAGGGCGATGAGACCCGACAGGAGAAGAGCAACACGGCACGGCAATGAGGAGCTCCGGGTAGGAGCGCTGCTCGGGGTGGCCATTGTGAGCCTGCAGGGAAACAGAGCGCACAGCAGGCCAGAGCGGGTTTCCCATGAATCGGCCATTCTCGAACTTGAGCGCCTTCGATGATGCCAACTGTAACGATGAACTATTAAAAACGGATTCTTCTTTTTTGTTACCAGGTAAGGCCCCGCTGAGTTATGCAGCTCTTTTTCAGAAGCAACCTGGCCACAAATGAAGGCTCAACGAAGTGGCTTATCGCGTGCAAATGTATGGCAGTCAAATAATCTAAACGCGTGTTTCTAAACGTGGAGGGAAAAACCGGAGGACCGAGAGAAAAATCCACACGAACACACGGGGAGAGAGAAAAGCAAACTCCAAATATACATTCTACATTTGAAGCTTTCGTGACTGCAAGGATTCATATTCTAAGGTTTTCGGTAAAGTCACGTAGGTAAAAAATTAAAATTAAAATTAATCAAAGTTAAATAAAAATAAAATAAAAATCCAAATATACAGGCGTCAGGGTTGGAATTAAACCCACAACCTCCTCCATATCAGGAAAGGTAGTTACCATCTCGCCACCGTAGCAAAGCTTTATTTTGGGTGAACACATGGTACGGTGATTACCACGTGGCAGTCCAGAATTGTTTTCATCAATCGATTATGGATCACTGGTTGGGAAAACTTCAGTGCCAGCAATGACGCCAATTGCAATGATTAATGTTTCTTCAATTATATTTTCCGCACGATGTCACATACGTGGAATGACATTGTCCCTGCATTACGTTAGAAACAATGCTGGCCAAGTCAGCTTTAAACAACCATTTAAAAGCTGGGGCGCTGTGTCCAGGATAGGTTATCTCCTTCGCCTGCTATGTAGGAGGTTGTAGGTTCGATCCCCGACCCTGACGATGCCTGTTGTATTTTTGGAGTTCGCGTGTTCTCTCTCCCCGTGCTGGTTGCTTGGATTTTTCTCCGGGTTCCTCCACATTTAGAAAAGTGTATTTAGATGATTTGGCTGCTACTTTAAAGTCCCACGTATGATATAAGCTACTTCGACGAGCCGTCACGTGTGGCCAGGTCGCCTCTGAAAAATATCTCATAACATAGTGGGTATTTACTTGCTAAAATAAAATGGTGTTTGTTCATAGTTACACGGATTGATTTGGCACCAGCCAAACAGCACCTCCTCACGCCGACCTCAATATGTGCTCACTAAGAGCACCTACCCCGATAGTCTGTAAGGGTGTCCACAGTGAACGGTGCTATTTATCTTAACCGTAATATCGACGTCGCGTCACGGCGTGAAATGTCCCATTGAAACAGAGGATATCCCCATGCAAAAGAAAACGACCCACGGAAGCAGATATCACAGAGATCCCAGCACCTGCAATGATCACGGTTGACTACGTAAGGTGCGAAAGAAGTTCAACATACTTACAAGTTGACCTTTATTTTCACATACACTTCTACAGAGACGTGTTTGTCGCTTGGCAGTCGCTCGGTTTTAGTTTCATTCTCAGAGCTCAAATAAGACAAATTGTTTATTGAATGCGATGGATTTGCTTTGTGCGTTCAGGTTTAACCGGGTTGAGACCATATGAATGTGGAATTTTCGCCACCGGCTCATGGCTGTGCAAAGGAGATGAGGCCATCCCATCCTCATTGCATGGGGGGAAAAAAACACAATTGAATCTTGAATGCTATGCTTGTCAAAATGAACATAACTTAAAATTATGAGGGCAACAAATATAAATCTGTTTTATCATATATTATATTCTTTACATGCCAAGCAAAGTCTGGGTCTTAAAATAGCTTTCAAGAGGGCCTTGCCAGAGATGTTTGACCAGCTCCTTTTTGAATGAGTACAAATCTTAGAATTTTTTTTTACAAGCGATGTCGATGCTTGATATTATAGAGCTCACGTGTGTCCTCCTAAAGTAGCCCACGCATTGCGCATTATTACGATGTGCACATGCACTAGAAGTGGGGGAAGACAGTTCATTAAGTGCATCAGCGATTGCATGCAACTGGGAAAGTCAGCACGCAGAGAGTCCTCGAATGAACATCACAGACAGAGCTAAATGGAAGAAAGCACGTGGCTGAGAGAGAGAGAGAGAGTTTACACATTTATTTCCAGCCTGATCATTTGTACATTAAACTACCAAAGCCTAAAGGTGGAGCGAGTGTTTTTTTTTTATGTATGCATCAAAATTAGCCAGATTCGGCCACTGTATGCTCTAACAATATCATAGCCAAAATCCTACAATTATAAACATGTCCTTAATTTTAATCGGCAAAATAATGACTGTGTACATGTCCATAAATATATATGTAAATATTTATTACTAATAAAATAAAAACCTAACAGGTAAAGGTGTCACTGGATTAAAACCAAACATCGCTATTAAAATAAAACGTACAGAGATTACCCGCGCGCTGTTACCACCTGAACGTATGTACGTTGAACTTCCTTCGTACCCTACGTACCTCTTGAGGTGAGGAGCGGTGAGGCGTCGTCGTCTTGTGAGCAAAGGCGGATGAATCCCCGAGTGTCTCTCGGTCCCTTTTATCCCCAGAAATCCACAACCCCCCGAGCCCCCCCCCCCCCCTCTCCGTGGGGGGCTGTGGGTGACGCCACCGTCCAGACAGCCTAGGAGTTGTCCCACGTCATCACGACATAACCCCTTCTCCGTCTCCATTCACTCCCCGTACCGTCGCCACGGAAAGGCGTTCGAGTCGTCGCATTCGCCGCGAGAATTCTCCGAGGTGGCCGTGTCGCACCGATTCGCAGGGGAAAAAAGCGAAGAATTGATCAACAGTTTTCAAAGTGTGGCTAATTTTTCTTTTCTCCCACCTGTGCCTATTTTTTTTAGTCTACTTTAAAAAAAAATTCGTGTCCGGGGACTATGAACACGCAAGTTGCACGCTGGGGTGGGAGTAGCGGCGAAGCGGTTAGCGCACCGCTCTGTGAATCTGACAAAACTGATATTTATTTTGCAACCATCTGATATAGGTACGCACCTGAACGCCCCCCTTTTTACTAACCGACACCTACCAGGCTGGTGAAGTATGGTCAAACGACCACCGTGGACTGACACACGACATAGAGAGGTCTTCATGCAGCAGTGGAATTGACAAAATCTCTCTGTCATTATACTCATACATGGTACAAAGATGAACCATCATTATCACCGGATGCAGAAGCCAATTGTTAATAGATTATCAAAGATATGTTTTTTTTATAAGGCATATCGTTTTCTGGAGCTTAGAAAAGCATCATTTCTGAGTCCTTAATAACTCTCGGATGATTATAATTCAATAAAACGACCAATTAATTCAGGTGCCGCTTGGCAGTATCGGTGTGATCCGTGTTTCAATTACCTGCATTGACCTTCACAGACAGCTAATAAAGTGACAGCCGTCCAATTTCACTGAGATCTATTTATGTATTGATTACTGGCATGTAACAATGCATTGAAAACAAATGTGATCTTTACTCTCACGATAATATGTGAATTGGACCGTGTTTTGTGACAACCATTCGCTTATGATTTATGTAAACGGTATGCTGACGATACTTTTAGAATATTTGAGAAAAACTGTATCCGCGACATGTACAATTAAATAGTAAAAAAACGGAATCGCTGCCCCTAAAATGATGACAGTCACTGAAATTCGTGGAGTGTCAATCCTTCCAGGAATATTTACAATAGCATAATTTACGTACCCAGGAAGCGATATTAAGTGATGACCTTGCTATTGTTGGTACTAAAGCGAACCATCAGCTCGTCGGTGATGAAGATGCTGCTGCTGCTGCTGCTGCGTTGGCAATGGTGCAAAAGCACAAATATTATTTTACATTTGTAGATAATTTCCGACGGACGTACTCGTAGACGGAGGTAAGTTAAGGGCTTCCGCCAGGGTTTATTAAAGCTGTTACAATAACACACAGCAGGGCACACAACTCCCAGGGGCTAGGGGGGTCCTACTCTGAGTCCGGGTCCCTGCCGGCTCGCTCCGGTCTCTCTCTCTCTCGTGTCGGATCGGGGACTCTGCCGACTCCACCGAGCGGAGAGAGAAGCACCTCTACGGCTACTACCACCGGCTTCTCACCAGACTCCCTATTCGATCCCTCTCTCTACCCCTGGTGCCCTCTTCACCCTTCTTACTTTACCCGTTCCCACAGTGACCCCGCTTACGTCACGGGGTCTCCCTTAAGTAACCCGAGGAGACGTGACGTCATCGCACTGAACGGCACAGCTGACGTCACGTCCCCATTTTACTCCTCTACACATTCATAGAGCGCCTTGGCTCAAGGTGATTTAACGTCGTTTAAAAGAGGTAACAACAATAGAGAGATGTATATGGCAGTGGCTTTGCAAGCGCCGATGAATGAGTGACCGTAACAGAGGGCACACAGGCTCACATAAGGGCTATAGGGGAGGGACGGGAAAGAGTGGAGGGGCGAAGGGAGAGACAATGAAAGGAATGGGCCATGGGGAAGATGTGTAGCTTGACGGGAGGAACGCAATGAGGTTAAGGAGGGGGCACTGCTTCATGTGCAAGGGGAAGTTTATTCCAGTGGTAGGGTGCATGGAGGGAAACGCTCGTCTCGGTCGGAGTTTTGCACAATCACAGAGTGGCATTCAACACAATTCACGAATAAGTATAACCCGTAAAAACAAAGTTTTTCACTATAAATCCTTCATATGCGTGGCAGCGAACTTAATATAAAGGATTTAAAAATATATTCGCCTGTGGAGGACGCGGGGATCGATCCCGCGACCTTTGGCATGGGAAGCGAGGGCGCTACCAACTGCACTACTCCGCCACGGCCTGTGTAGGGGTTACGCTCTGGGCTCTTACACTCTGACGTTCAGCCAAAGCAATGAATGCGTTCTATTTGAATATATGTAAAATAATTTTTTTTTGCCTAAAAAGTGTAAAATTTTGAGAATTTTTTTTCATGAACAATAATTGTCTGGCACAACGAGTCTGTGTGGAAAATGTCAGCTCGATTGGATCACGGGAAGTGGGTTAAAAAACGACCGAAAGATTTGCACGGTCCTAAGCAAGCAAGCAAGCACGCAAGCAAGCAAGCGAACTTAATATAAAGGATTTAAAAACAACTCTTAACACGTTCCTCGATGAGACTGCAACACAAAAGAAGAATCCCATGATAGGTGACATATTTCGGGTAACGTGTTCACAATTTTTTTGTATTTATCTGAAATGTCTTAGGTAGGAAATTGTGGATGAGCCTACATGTTTTCTCTCTCTCATGTTTTCGGACCGATCTGTGCCATGTCAATAATACGAAGTGACTTCCACGCTTCTTCCCAACAAAGTGGTATCACACCTCCGATTAATACGGTTGGCTTCATATGGTGCAAAATAAGCTGAACATACATCCATCGCGTGGCATTGAGTGGCACCACCAAGATTGTCAGCACGAAGACTTTGTGAAGGAGCACATATTGTAAATTATCCAGACATCTGACGATATATTGTCCTGAAATCTGAATGATTTAAATACAAACAAATCACCTCTTCTATTCTCTCACGTCCACAATCACTAGCACTATGGTTAAGCTTTATATATCAAAAAAATACAATAGAATGCTCGTGTGGCTGCCTCAAAAAAAGGCTTCGGTTAAGAGTGAACAACCACTTGTATGGATGTATGAATGGTTATGGAGACGAATATTGCAAACAGCTGCTCGAGGCGAGAGACGGTTCAAACATCGGGGGAATTATTTCTGACAGACGGCGGCCCGGGTACTCAAAGGACATCAGAGCCCAGAGTGGTTCCATGGGATGAGTGGCAGACGAAGAAGCGACTTCTCTTTCTTGACTGCGATAGCCTCGTCTCGATCGGAAGTTTACACGAAATAACAGACAGAGATTTTCAACACTTTATTGCACGATTGTTTCTCACGGTTCGGTGGATTTTTAAAAAAATGTAATGTTATGAGGCACTACATGAGGCTCTGTAGAAGACTGGTAATGATTGCAAATGTGGGTGTGCGGTGCAGAACGTATAAAACAAACCCGCTGGACTAGGTGTAAGGTCAAAGTAGCGGTAAGACTTACCGCTTAAGTTAGATTAAACGTAAGCACCTCCGATTAGCACAGTTGAGCTACGTACGGCAAGAAAGAAGTTCAACATACACATGTACATTCGACGTGAAGGTGGTCAGATGGATGGAAATAAATAAAAAGGAAGGAATATGTGCGACAGTGTAATGAGGAGGCGTTCGAGTGGCTTCAGGAGAAATGTGGTTGGAACAACTCAGAGAAGGCCACAATCTTGTGTGTTGGGAACGTTGTGAGAAGGGGGAGGACAGAAGGTGAAGAAAATGAGCCAAGAGCCAGAGCTGTAGCTGGACACATCGATGCACAAGGAAAGGTGCCAACCTGACCCCTACCTCCTTCTCCTCCTCCTCATACTCATTATCACCACCCTCGCTGCGGCTCTGCCAATCACCTGCCCTCGGCGCAGTGTTTCTTCACCAATTTTCAGAAGGAATGGGACCACTATCGCCGATAAGACATCATCAGCGTGAGTGCCGCCACGCATTTTAAACCATTGTTGGGTTTGACAGCAGCACGATGATTGTTTGACTTGCATCCCACTGGGATTTTTGCACACAGCGTTGGTGTGTAACGGTGTTTTTGTCTGCAATATTTTGCTGTCTTTTCTTGGATTTTCTGTTTGCACTCAGTCACATATTCACTTTAAGCTGTTTTTTTGTTCATGTTTTTGTTTTTTTGTTTGTTGAGGTTGCACCCGATTCAAGAGCCGAATGGCTCACAGGGCTATACCTAATAAATGAACTTGAAGGTGATGGTGGTGGTGCTGGTGGGGCTGTTCACACTCTTTGCGTATTGTTGGGGGCCTTACGTCAGGGGCCGTAACTATAGGCCACCAGCGGCCGCTGGTCTGGCCCGCCGGGCCTTGCAGTGGAGAACGCTGCGGGCTTAACTGGGGAACCTGAGAAGTAGCAGCGTGAACATCAATGAAGCCGCATCGAATGTTGCGGCTTTTCAGGGTGTCGCATTACGGCGTCGTGGTTAATGTGCGTGGAGCGAGCCGCATTGTATTCGAGAACATTTCCGATTAAAAACAACTGAAACATCTTTTTTTTGCCTCTCTTTAGCCAGATGACACGCCGACTGAGATGAATCATGCCACGCTTGGCTTATTTGTAAAAAAAAAATGGGCTTGTTTAAAGAGCAAAAACTATTGAAAGTATTCTTCAATTTACTGGCAGTCGCAGCAAGAATATCTATATATTTATATATATTTTTTAACAATTATTACGAACGCCGCTTTTATCAATGAGAAATATGTTCACGCTTACGCGTGTTTTTTTTCTTGCCAATGGCCCGGCTACGGCACGGAGGCAGAATGTCACGATTAAGTTGGAGACATCGCTTCATCAAAACATGTTTAATTGAAATAGAATCATTAGCGATGGAATGGCTGTGAATGAAATTAATCATAATAATAATGATGAT